TTGTTGAGTGATTCAACTTCACCAAATCTAAAAAGACCGCCCGGGTCGGCGCACCTGACCAAACGGCGATCGCTCGGCAGTCGCTACAGATTGTCACAAAAATGCAAAGAGACTAATAGTCTGTTGAATTTGAGACCTGCAACTGGAACCGCTTTGAAGAGGTGCAGGACTTTGAGCTCCTTCTCTGAGGTGAGCCAACCTTTGGGTTGGCTTACTGGAGAGGGATGACCAAATGGTGCCAAACAATGATGCCTATCTTGTAGGTGGAATGGCATCCCCTCTGGTCTCTTCATAGGGGTTGGCTGTGTATACCCTCTTACCACCCCTGTATCTATTAGACATAAGCGTGAGAGGGTGAAAGAACTGCTTACTTTCATGGCAACAAATCTACTCAAACCCCCACAAACAGAGATAAAGGATGACAAACCTTGCAAGGCATTGACCACGGCGGTCACTCTGAAGCCATTTATGGCTTCTAGTGGCAAGAAAATAATCAAAAGCACAGTTTGACCATGTCAGACCTGCTGCTAAAATAGACATGACAAAGAATCCATCACTCAAAAACTCTGTCCATGAGATTGTCCAACAGTTGGACTCTTGTGCTGGCCTCTCCAGGCCTCACCCAAAATAGGGAGACCTCTGACTTCCCCTCAGACATCTTCCCTGACTCAAATGGGAGCACAAGCTGGACCAGTCAAACCAGCTGCTTCCATGGCCAAAGCCCAGAATCCATGCCAAAGAGGCAGTCTGAAACGACTTAAGTGGGAGACAGACTCTGAGGGAGAGTCTGGACCCTCAAGGCATCTCCCACAGTTTGAGATTCCCTTTCAACCTGAAGCTTTCGACAATACCCTCCAACTGGTGAGAACATGGGAGATGCAAAGACAAAACTGGTTGACAATCCGGATCGCCAGAGAGCAGGGCATGATCAGTGTCCATAAAGATCAAGCTACCCTGAATCTCCTGCAGGAAACGGAGTTTAAAGATGGAAGGAAAGTGTCTCACCACTGAATCCTGAATATTGGAGAGTCAAGATGGTGCTACCTGGCTTTTCAGTTTCTTATGATGTGGAGCTGATTACATCACACCCAAAGGTCATGGGGGCTTCCTGAGTGTCGAAAGGGGAGACCCCAACCAAGCAAGTCCTGGTGGCCTTGAAAGAAGCCTCCTACAGCCTATGTGCCAGAGCCACTTCGGTGTTTCATGTGCGAGAAATAAGATCATCACCAAGCTAGCGGCAAGGCTTTTTAGTGGAGTTCAAGTGAGGAGGCAGTCTCAGTCGCCATGGCAGCAATGACCCGGACTGTTGTAGCCTTGAAAGGGAGGAGACTGGACAGAGCCAAATCAACTCCTATCCCACCTCAGGATGAGACTCCCTTCCCTACTCCAACCCTAGCCAAGCCTCACAGAGCCAAAACAGGCTGAATATGTGCAGTCAGAGCCAGGACAGGCTGAGGTTACCTAGATAAAGTCAGCAAAAGCCAAGAACACAGGCAAAGCCTGAAGAGA